AAAGCTTCAAAGTTCTCGTCAGTCCATTGTTCAGGTTTAGGAGGCAAATTCGGTGTTCTCGCTTTTCCCCACATAATCCATTTGTAAATCATCATGCTTTAAGAGTGCAATTAAAGCATTCTCTTGAAGAGAGTCAAAATCATCGGAATCAAAAATCATACTAGGTCGTTTTACAAGGATTTCATTACAAAATGGTTGTAAAGTTTTAAGATTTTTATGTTGGAAACTTGTTTGATAAACAAGTGAAAAATTTGATCGTAACTAAGATTCATTTTTATCAATCAAAATAGATTGAAGATGGTCGACTAATTCAGAAAGCATGAATTCTCTAACAACAATAAGTAGGTCAAATATTGCTGGTGCTTCGAGATTTTCTAAAGAAATTACGCCACCATAAATGTATCTATATAGGCAAATTTTTATTATTACTTTTTTATGAACGTTAAATAATTGACAAAATTGGTTATAATATTAGCATTATATTTCAATAACATAATAATAATGCTAAATGCTTTGATGGTAATATGAGGCAACTGAATTTTAATAATATCATTATCCTTAGTATCGACAACATTTTTCAATTGTTGTCGAAAGTAAAAAGAACGTTAATATAATATCACTGAATGCGCCTTGAAAATATGATAATTTGGTTGTTTTCCAACTTCAATTACTACATTGTAATCGTAACAACTTTTGTAAAGTCTTGAGAAAGTTGAATAAAAAACTTTTCTGTCATTTTTTTTTCTTACTACGTATCACTACAATTTAGCAAACACATCGATATGTTTATAACTTGTATATACTTAAAAAAGCTGCATGTCCGCCGTTGTCATATGCACATGCATAAAGAATAACAATTCAATATAAACTAACAAATATTTTGAATGGTCTGTTCAAATATGCAAGCTAAATACAAATTCATTATGAATACAAATAAGTTATATAGTCATATATCAGGTGCGCATGTATTTACGTAATCATCAGTATTCTCTTTATAATGCTTGATGATTCAACTTCAATGATTAAGTCTTTAAATTAAATTGGAGTAAAATCAAAGTTGCGTAGACTGCAAATATATAATATATATTAGAACATTATTAAAGTATATAAGAAGTCGTTAGTTATTATGTGTAATTTGTCCTTATCTTGGTCGTGTAGTAGTAAGTTTCTTATTTTTTTTTTTGAGAATATTGCAGCAGTAATTATGTGTGCAAAAACATGAAAACGCAAAAATTCCGAATTTTTAACTGAGCAATTTCGTCTTTAAACACTACTTTAGCTTGTGCAGGTAGCAATAGGTACGTTTTAATTATTCCAAAATTTCTAGTGCATACGTGCAGTGCAAAAATCCCAGCATGACGGCTGTTACCCATAAAGGATTCTATACTGTGAGGACGGATTTAGATAGGATTTAGATAGGATTTAGATAGAAATAATAAAAGAATAATAAAGTATCTACAAACTGTGAACTACTTACCCGACCCTAACAAAAGTGCAAGTATTATCTTGTAACACTCCGTGACCATCGTTAAATTCCATCCCTAACAGAACCCGTCCGCCCCAAGAATAAACTAAGCCTCAGTTGATCGTTCGCCGCAAGTCACATGACCGGAAATCCGTCGCCGTAATAGAAGAATTACAACCCCGATTCGACGAAGTGTAATCCCGGGTTGAGGCATACAAAAGAAGACAAGAGAAGGCAAAGGTTAATAGAAGACTAGGTTGAAGGAAAGGCATACAAGAAGAAGACAAGTACTTACCTACGGACGATAAATCACTCAAGACCACAAGCCGTCCGATCGTTACACGAAGCTGACCTTCGATTGGTGACAGAATCGCCGATTTAGGAGCTACATGGCCTTCGTGGCTACCGTGATACCGGGAATCGTGACACCGAATGCCGTGACCGATCACGTGAAAAATGCACGAAATGCAATAAATGCAATAAGTGCAATAAATGTAATAAGTGCCGTAAAAGCAACAAACATAATAAGTTACATTTAAGATCGTTAAAGGTAGTTCGGATCCAAAGGGGTAGATAAGGAATAAAAGGAGGAAATAACGGATATTAGATAAATACGTGTAAATAGTTTAATTAGTTTTAAGAGATAAGTCGCATTTGTAAGCGACAAATTTTATATTATAAATAAAGGCCGAAATGGCCCTTAAGAAAAGTATGCTTCATTTGCTTTATTAAACAATAAATCCTAATACCCTACATTGTACTTAATAAACACTAACACTATTACAGTTACAAACCTTGTAAACTCCTGTAAACGTCGCTGTTCAACCCTTGACCACGTGACTTACCCTATTTGCAGTTGTTGACCCAAAGTAACCGAAAACCTTAACCGCTCACAAGCCAAATCTAACACCCTCTTTCGAAAAGGTTACTTGTCATACATAACGCGAGGTTTTGGATTTTGGAGCGACAGAGTCACAATCTTCCGAACCCAACATTTTGGTGGTGACTATGAGATATGAAAATAATGTTTGCTACCTGATTCGAAAATTTTGAATTAGTAGAAAGGAAGCCTAAATAACTAACAGACCTACCTGAACTGAGTAAAAGCTTTGCACTAGAACATCCTGGAAAGAATCCTTGCACCGTTTAGCCCTGCCATCATGAACGCAACCCAGCTCAGATAACTGATAGAAAATATGACCAAATCTTTCGAGGACGCATCTAAAGATATCGTGAAAGAAAATGGGTCTGGATTGAGAAAAACGAATCATGTGAAGGTTAGAAGCTTCAGTGGTAATGACAATAAGGACCTAATTGAATGGTTCGACGATTTCGAGCGAGCTGCTGAAGTGAATAATTGGACAGATGAACAGAAGCTGAAGATAGCTTCCGAATACCTTAAGGGATTAGCAGCAGAATGGTATAAGGATAACAAAGCCAATATAGACGAATGGAAGAGCGAAAACGATCTAGATAGGAGCTTCTATCACTTGTTGGTCACCTTCTTTGTCATTTCAGAAAAGCAACACAAGTCACATATTTAGTTAAATAGTCACATCCAACTCAAATCGGAAAAGGTGGATGCCTATGCTACTAAATTTAAGAAATTGTTGAGCTGTATAGACCCAACTGACTCCTTACCTGTTCAGTATATTGTATAAATATTTTTTAGCAGATTGAAAGAGAAAACAGCAACTTTTGTAGTGGTAACGTTCCCAAATAATCTCAATGAAGTGATTGCAGCTGCCAGAAAAGTTGAAGCTGACAAATACTATGGTACCTACCTGCACGAAACCCCAGATAAGAAGGATGAATTGATAGAAGCATTAGTCAAGCAGGTGCAGCAACTATTGGTCAACTAAGTTGTAGCAACCAGTCAGCAAGAATGAGATATGCACGATAAGGAATGGTATAGTCAAGAAATATATAAGCCCAAGAGGGACATCATCTGTTACCGATGTGGTAAAAAAGGGCATATTGCTCGATCTTGTATATCGGAGAAGAAGTATGAAGAACCTAAGAAGGAATAATGATCAACAGATAACAATCAAAGAGTGAACTACTGTGACTATGAATATAATGGTAACAAGATATATATGGTAAATAAAAGGAGGTAGCAGCTGCAAGCCAACACTGCTAATAAACAAACTAGGCTGCAACCTAAGACGAAGTGGGATAATAAACTTCGACCCTAAATGGAACCCAAATTACTATTAGTAGACATGGGGGACCAACTGGAGCCTATAGAGTTGGACGAGGCATGGCCGATTAAGAAATCGAGAAAAAAGAGGCAACCATCTGTTGTAGATAGCCTTGTGCCCTACAATATTGCAGAGGATCTATTGAATACAAGGGCGAATGCTATCTATGGCCAACTACTCCAAATACCAAATCGAAAAAGAAACTTGGCCCAAGTACTATGTCGACTTATTATAGCCCTGAAGCCTAAAGAAATTCGAGTACCCCAAGAAATCCAAGAACCTCAGATAGTGAACTTTAGTGATGCTCATAGAATGATGGCTGCCTATTGTTAAGTTAGAATTAGAGACAATCCTATTCGAGCTATACTAGATTTGGGCACTGCAGTAAGTATAATGACAAGAAAACTTATAGAAAAATTAAGGTTGAAAATAGACAAACCATCGTTTACAGTAATAATTATGGCAACTAGCATGAGAATATGAGCACTAGGGCAAATCGAAGACATAAAGGTGGCTATCCAAGATACACTACTACCTAGCACCTTCTAGGTTATTGAATCGACAGATGAAACCATACTGCTTGGCAACGACTAGTTCAAAAGAGCCCAAGCATGAATTCATTTTGACGAACAACAACTGTTTCTTAAGCATAATGGTAGATGAATCAAGGTATCTATCTCCAATAATGGCATGAAGAAGCTAGAAGTTTCAGAAGAAAAAGACCAGACCAGTAGCGATAGCAAAGATGAGTTTGGCAAATAAACCTACAAGGATGAAGAACTAGTCGAGGCAAAAGAGTATTATATGAAAGGAGCCATTGAAGAACCTGATGATCTGTTCCATAACCTGTAGGAAGAATCGACAAACCTGGCATTGTACTTGATGAATGTGAAAGAAATGCCGATGAAAGATAATGATGAAACTGAAATCATGATAGAAGAACGAATAGAACAGTTCCTCCAGAATGATAATCTTAATAAAGAAGACAAGAAAAAAGCAGCATCATTCTTTAAACAGGAAAGGACCCTGTTCACAATCAATATACAAGAACTTGGAGAAATGAACATGATAACCTATCAGATCGAGACTGCAAATGCTAAGCTGATAAAGCAGAGAGTGTATAGAGCAGCACCTAGCGAGTACGAATTCATTAAGAAGGAACTAAAAGAAATGGAAGAAAAGAGATTGATTAGAAAGTTGAGTAGCCTGTGGGCTTCGCCTGTAGTCATAGTACCAAAGAAGGATGATAAGCTATGACTATGCATTAATTATAGAAAGGTAAATGAAGTTACAAGAAAGGACTCTTACCCACTACCCTATATAGATGATTTGTTGGAGACCTTTAGCACCACAAAATAGTTTTTCAGTTTAGACTTTAAGAGCAAATATTGGCAGATGAAGGTCGAAGAGGAAAACAAGAAGAAAACAGCTTTCGTAATGTGAAATAGTCTTTATGAGTTCAACATCATGCCGTTTGGACTATCGAATGTATCTGCTACGTTCCAACGATTGATGAATCATATATTAGAAGAGTATATTGGAAAATTCATGACTGTTTATATTAATAATATTAATATCTACTCACGTACTTTCGACGAACACTTGGTACAATTAAAGAAGGTGTTCAATAAGTTAGCTGAAACAGGATTAAAAATTAATATAGAAAAATGTGGGTTCTTTAAACCTACCATCTACTTTCTTGGACATATTGTCAAATGGCAAGGGATATAACCTGACGAGGGCAAAATAGAAAAAATAAAAAACTACCCTGTGCCCAATACCCTGCACTAGTTAAGGGGATTTATCGGTCTTGCATCATACTATAGAAAGTTCATTCTGGAATTTGCAGCTATAGCACAACCTTTACACTACCTATTACAAAAAGACATTAGATTCGAATGGAGACTGCAACAGCAACAAGCATTCGAAACATTAAAGAATTACCTGATTACGGCACCTATTCTTAAATACCCCAACTTCGATGATACCTTTTTCTTATATACTGATGCATCCAGAACAGGATTAGGAACTGTTTTAGCACAAAAGGGTGCTGATGAAAAGGAACACGTGATCTCATATGCTAGCCATAGCTTATTTAAAGCCAAATGAAATTATTTGGCATGTGAATCAGAATGTCTGGCAGTTATCTGAGTGGTAGAATATTATCACTATTATTTTGGCTTTAAGCTGTTTGCTATTATAACCAGCCACTCAGCACTCAAATGGCTGCATAGTACGAAGTTAAAGGGTAAAAAGGCCTGTTGGATACTTTGTTTACAGCCATATGATTATACAATCCAGCATAAGTCGGGACATACCCATTGGAATGCAGATGCATTGTCTCAAATAAATGGAATGGAAAATGATGTCGTGGAAGTGTATATGGTAATAGAAATAAGTAACGAAGAAGAATTAGTAACAGAAAATGTCAAGGAACAAGCAAGCGAAAAATGACTCAACTTACCTAAGTTCGAAAGTGTAATCGACTCAGGTACTTAACCTATCACCCTGTTATTGTTCACCAAGTTGGAGAAGAAATATCGAAGTAACCTGGAATATTCAGGGCCAAGTAAATCATACAGCAACACTTATCAAATGTATTACCATCTCACCCATTTTGAGCATCTTGCATTGGAAATCTTGGATCAATGAAAGGCTATATATATGGTCGAATTTTACAGATTTAACCTAATAGTGACAGAACTTTGACAGTTGTTAATGTTAAGGGATTGGGTGATTACAGAAGCAAACCAAGAATTAGTTCGAAAGGAATACTTATGCGATACTGGCATTGACTTGAGATATACTGAACTATTAAACATGCAAGAAATCAAGAAAGATAAAAATGCCAACAGGAGGGGCAACTAAAAAGTGATTAATATTGAACCATTTTGCCAAATAGATGCATCGAATTATGCATAATCTTCTTAGTGAATGTGGTCGATTAAGAAAATGATATTGAAGTTCTTCAGGAAATTATTGACGCAGATCATCAAAAAGCAAGAAACAATGATCACACTCAGAAATCAGATCATCTAATTTTAGTAACTCTAAGTGAACTGACGTTGAATTAGTAGAATAACTCATTAATAGAAATAAGTCGAACAAAAGAGAAGAAGATACCCAAATCTGATGATAAATCCAATCCAGTTCAGGTAGTTGGTGTTCTGGCATTAGAAATTCAAAATGGAAGCAGATGACTATGATCGATTAAAATGATACTTGCAAGAAAGATATGTCAACACCAACCTATATCAGGAAAATTTTTGGATAGTTATTAATCGATATATATTAAAAAATCGATATATATCAATTGAAATATAATGATATATATCGGCAGGGTAGTTATAAATTGATATATATCAAAATCGATATATATCGATAGATGG